AGAAAAACTGTATACACGTTAGCCACCCGTTAGTTCTCTGCTAAACCGCTACCTCCCCTACACGGCGACGCCCTCTATAGCTTTAGGGGAAATCCGAAAATCATAAACGGGGATACTCACAACCTCCTTAGGGAGCCTAAAGAGAGGAAAAAAAAGAAAAAAAAAAAGAAAAGAAAAAAAGGCCTATAGTCGAAAAGATCCTCTATATAATAGAGAGGCCCCACTTATCGTACCTTCCGTTATTACTATTCACGTATAAAAAGGCAGGCATGCCTTTATTACCGGTAACGTATTTTCCTATTTATAGAATAAATAATATAAATGTATTTAATAAACGGGAAGATATCGGCCGTTTAATAATACTACGGCTATCTAATAGTGGATAAATAGCTACTGTAAACTTTTACTTTATACCTGTCTTTTTATAAGCATATATCCCTTATAGACTTATTTCTTTATAATAAACTTCTATAAACTACTGTCTGATTAACGGTTAGCTATCTATAGTACGTCCTTTTATACCCTTATATATACCTAAAATAGTATACTTTATAAGGAATTTTCTCTTTATTCTTCTCTCCTAAAAATATCCTCCAGTACCACTATTAGAGGTTAGGATATCCTCTAAGATTTTAGCTCCACCGTTACTTAATGATAGATTACCTGCTACTTTATTTTCTTAAGCTCCGACCTACGTATCGCCGATAGTACTATTAACCCTCGCCTTACCCGACGATCACTACTCGCCCTATAGTTACTCCCTAATTAATTATAGCCTAAGGATAGGCCTTATTCTAGTAAGACGCAGCCTATTAGGTGTAGGATATAAGGAAGACTTAGGAGGTACCTGGATATAGTAGTGGACTACCGGCTAACTAATAAGTGGATATTTATTATATAAGACGGAGAGCTAGACTATTCTGGAAAGAAGGGGTTAGCGATTATCTCTTCTCTACACTATCACCTACCTTTAAGATACTCTTTCTATCGACCACTAGTTAATCTATAGTTAGCCTCCTCTTATATAAGACTATAATCCTTATCTATCACTCCCTATCGTCTCTAGTCCTTATCCTTTCGGGGTAGACCAAGATCTCCTTCTTAACACCGGGACCCTAAGTGTCTCTCGGACTTCCGGACGATACTATAGAAGGCCGTAGCACTATGCTCGGATTCTCTATAGCGTAACGTCCTCGGATGGCTAGACGGCCTATTAAGCGGAAGAACCGGCGAAGTAATAGAATACCGTGGTTTACCGTCTCCCCCTAATATATCTCCGTTATTTTATAACGTATACTCCTTTCCTTCCCCTTCCTCCTTTTCCCTTCTTCCCTTTCTCTTCTTTCCTATCTATCGTGAACACTATCGCCGCTAGAGGACGCCCGCGGGATGTAGGGCTTACGTCGCCCGGGGCAGATACTCGTAGACGAAAGCCGTTATATAGCTAAAGTCCGATAGCCGCCGGCGAATAGCGAGACCTATACGAGTATCGTAAGAATAAGGTAACCCTATCGCGAGAGACGAAATCAGCTATAGGTCAAGCACTTAGAAAGGATAGCTAGCTTACTAGAATCGTTAGATACCGGAAGAAGCTATCGAGGCGTAGGAACTAACTAATGTCTTTAAGGATAGATAAAGACCTTAGTTAATCTAAGGATAGCCTTAAAGAAGATAGAGGTTCCGAGGGCGCTATAGCTAGGCAATATTAAAGAACCGCGAGTGTTAAAGAACCGCGAGACGCTAAAGAACCACGAGGTACACGGCGGAACCAGAAGACTAAGGGTTACGGGGTAAGCCGGCGATATAATATAAGACGAATATCACCGCCGCCCTAGGTAATGACCGTGAACCCTAGGAAACTATAAGGAACGGCAGGAATAGAAGCACTATAACCTATACGTGCCTTCTATCGGCCGCCGCAGTTATAGTTACCACGGCGCTCTACACGGCGCTAGGAAAAATAATATCGCTCCTATAGCGTGTAGCTCTTATTTCCCTCTTATTCATAATCTCTCTAATGTTTCACTATCAATTCCTAAATCGTTTACTATTATTCCTATAGTATTCCACTTATAATTATCGTCTTATAACGTATACACTTCTTCTATATCCTTTCCCTTTTCTTTAGTATAGCGGGACCGCACGGCGGATACCGCACTTCCCTATACCGCCGTAACCGTTTTCGAGCGCGGCTAAGTCCTATTTCGCAGTTAAGTTCCCTAGCCACTAGCAGCCGTCTAAGGACGACGACTATAAAAAGCTATTTAAGAAGTTCTTTAAGAGTAGTAAAAAGATCGGCTAAGGTTTTTAGAAGGAAGGCTACTTTCGTGCTATTACGTTATACGGAGGCGAAGAACGCCTAAAAACCGAACTATCCACCCTCGGCACCCGCTTCGAGCTATAGAAGCAGGGTTATAAGGCGAAGATCCAGGCGTTCCGCTAGTATACCGAGGAATACGGCTATACCGACCCAGAGACGCGGGATCTTAACCACACGGTCTTTATCCCCCCCGAGTATCCTAAGGTTTACTAGGTCGTCTCCCTCTCCGAGGCATACACTATTATCCGCCGATTCCCCTAGCCGGACTACCTGCTAAAAGCTAATAGAGACCTCGTAGGCTAGGAATATCCGGAAGAGCCGTTTAAGACGTTTATTATAACCCGCGAGCGTAATTACGCCGGAAGGTTTACTAAGACGCCGTAGAAACCCTAGACGTCTAACGCCGATAGCCCTACTATCACCTCCGGCTAGCGTATAACCGTATTTATCGACCTTAAAGCCGAGGCAGAGGCTACTAACGCCGTAGCCGGCCCGTTATCCGCCCATGCTCCTTAGGGTAAGACCTCTAAGAAGTTAGTAAGTTCGATAGTTCCCGGTTTTATACTATAATATATCCGAGATTACGTATACCTCTCTAAAGCCGTCTACGACGTAGTCCTTATAGAAGCTAAGGGAACGGTAGTGTATATAGACCTTAAAAGAAACCTCGGGCAATACGCCTAATAAGCTAATATTACTAATAAGCTTATCCGTAAATTTCTCCACGGCCTCCCGACTAAGAAGGGTAAGGAGCTAGTCCGGATTATACTAACTATCTAAGAGTTCCTCGCTATAGTCCGTACTAGTAAAGAACCTAGCCTTACGCTAGCTATTAAATATACCGTACCGTCTAATGCTATTAAGTAGCTAGCTAAACGTGTAATCGGGTCTATAAACACGGAGAAGGCCCTACACGATATTATTAAAAATATAGCCGGGCGTTTACGTATTACGGGCATCTAAGCCACTAAGGAATCCGTTACTAAGGACGACTAGGTCGTTAATATTATCCGCTAGCGCGGCCACGCGGTAGTATTACCCGTTCCCGCGGCCACGCGGTAGTATTACCCGTTCCCGCGGCCACGTTTATACTCGTCACGCTCTAAGAGGGAGCCACCAGGAATAACGTATAGAACGCCGTAGATCTCCTAACACTACTAACGATATAGCGTATAGGTCGTATAGTGGCTATCGCCCCCCTTACCGATAACGGATAACTCACTAATATACGCCGAGAAGCCTTAGTAAATATACTAACTACCGACCCGGAAAAGGCTATCTCTATCGTCCGATACTACGTCGCTCTATAAGCCGCGTAGGCCGACCGTTTAGCCGCTAACCTAAAGGAGACGTATATCGGCGACCGCGCCGAGCTTAAGGCTCGCGCCGCGGAGTTTACTATAGACGAAACGGCCCTAGCTATAAACACGCCGCTAGACTAATAGGGTATTCTAATAATTAAGCCGTAGCCCGCTAATGATAACGATAAGATTACTATACTGGATTAATTATATAGTTCGGTATATAGGAGACACTAGGTTTTCTCTATAATACGCGGTGATATAGATTAGCGGGACGCTATAAGGTTTTCTTTCCGCTATCTATTTATTCGCTCGCCTTAGGTTTTACTAGGGAATACGGTAAGATACGATAAAGGGTTTAGTATATTTTCCTTTTCTTCTATCTATAGGTTTACTTTATTAGGTGTATTAGGATTTTACTAAGGCACACGGTAAGATAGGAGGCCGCGGCGCCGGCACGTTTTATTTTCTTTACTTCTCTCTTCTTCGCCTAGCTAGACAGTAAGTAGTAACGGCGGCGGTCGCTATAAGAGCACCGCCGCGTAAGAAACACTTTCCTTTCTATCCTCCCTAACTACACCGCGGTTCACTAGTATAACCGTAACGCGCCTTAAGTAAGGCTATCGTAGTTACCGGGGAAAGCCCGCGGGACGCAGGGCTTCGTCGCCCGGGGCATTTAATACGCCCTAGATTCCACCGGGAACGCCAGGGCGTACCACAGGCGTACTATAGTATAAGCTATAGCACGCACAGGGTATACTATAAGTACCTTTAGTATATACTATAGCTTCCCTGGGTTATACCCGCGTTCCTATACGTAAGAGCTGAGGATTCCACGGGGTTCACCCGTGGGATACTTAAGTCCCGGGGGCGCGCCCCCTTAGCTTAGAGAAGATATCTTTATTACACCGTATTTTCTATACCTAAAGGTCACCCCTCGAGAAAAAGCCTGGCTTACAGGTCCTATAGTACTGGCTGGCCAGGGATTTGCCCGTCAGGCATATTATACTATATACGAGTCTATATACCCCTATACGGGCGTCTGTCTATAATTCTTTTTAGTATTTTTGGAAGTTGAAACAGACCGTCCTGCCGCTTGCCGTAGGTACCTTACCGTACAGTACTGGAGCATGTCACGTACTGTACGGAGTACGGATGGTGGGGATGATGTTGGTCTCGGGCAGTCATCCAAAGCTAAGTGGCGCGGATCCACGTGACCACGTAGCAGGATCGGACGCTACTTCACGGCACCTCCGTGCCTAGATTGTCGTGAAGAAATCCCCATCATAAAATCATATAACGCACTGAGGACACGATTTGCTCGACCGGGAGGATAGCCCGACAAGCTCTAGCACGCCGGTAATCTTATAACCGCAACAATGCCGCCTCAATTACTCCGCTGCCCGATATGCAGTCTAACCTCCCGCATCCTCCAACCCGCGCCAACTCCAACAAGAATTCGACGTGTCTCCTCCTCTCCCGCATTGACATCTGTCTCGAGTCCCTCTAGTTCAATAACTGCAACAACAACACGAAAACCGCAGAACGTCGCGGCGAAAGACATCCTCGCCTCGCCAACCTGGTCCGTCGCCTCTCTCTTAAGCCCTCCTCCCTCCGAACAGCGACAACGGCAGCAAATCCTTCAACATGTCGGTGCCGAAATCTCTCCCGACAAGCTCCACCACCTTCTTCGCCTCTCCGCTCTTCCTCGGCCTCCCACCCCGGCTGCTGAGTCGGCTCTCTTAGCATCCCTGCACTCGCATCTTCTTTTCGTACGCGCCGTCCAGGCCGTCGACACCACCGGCGTCGAACCCCTTCGCGCTCTACGAGACGAGACGGATCGCGGTCGCCGCGAGGCTACCATTGGGCTTACAGAGATCCGGAGTGCCCTGGAAAGTGAAGTACGTCTTGGTCATCGGAGACGCCCGAGACGCGTCCGAGACAAGGATATGCATGGGAATGATCCGGAAGTAAGGGCTGCAGAGGACTGGCAGCCTCTGAATACAGCCACCCGAACCGCAGGCAAATATTTCGTCGTACGCAGTGGAAAGGGCGAGAAAGCCTAAAAAGAACTAAACTATTGGTGCCAATAACATGTACATCCATGCGTGGGGCGATCTGTCGCCCCACGCAACTCCTTCCATGCGCAATATCTGCTGTCATGCTCCCCGGTGAGTAGTAGCTAAATCTACAACTATGGTTGTTGTCGACTCTTAGCTGCGTGCTGGGATATAGAATATTATAGCTAATCCGTACAAGTGACGACCAAAAGCAGCCTCTGTTCATTCTCTCGCTGCATACCCCGACTCGACACTCTTCTTCCCATGGCCAGCAATACAAATACCCCTCTTCCTCAAATTCCCCACATCTCTCATTGAGCATACCCATCGGCTTGGTCGAGATGTTCTCCGTAGCCTAACCCTGGATCTTCATCTTGTTCATGCGCGAGTCGGGCTTGCTGACATTCTCAACACTAATTTGCTTCACTGTCGTCGAAGGCTGCATGGGCAGGTGAGCCGGCTTCTGCTCCTTGGGTTTGCTGAATTTCTTGTCCTTCTTTGCAAGCGTCTCCTCGTCGCGGGCGATTTGTGCGAGATCGAGATCCTCCCATCCGATGCCTTTGAGGATGGTGCCAATCATGTACTGGTAGCGCAGATGGCCGCTGACCGTCCGAGTGACGTTGCAGTTCTCGATCCCTTCCACACCGATGATCGCCTGTAAGCCTGAGACGCCAAATTCGAGGTTGGAAGTGCGACTCAAGAACCCGAGGACGTAGTCGCTTTCCGAGTAGACATTGACCAATCTGCCCGTCACGACACTTCTCATAACCTGCCATATTCGACCGTCGGAGGGAATGGGCGCTCCGATCATGACCACCGACTCAACTAGGCCGAACTGCCGTCTTTCGGCCAGCGCCATCAGGCATATGTAGATGGCACGGGCGCCGAGACTGTACCCGACCAGAGATACTGGCCGGTCTCCCTGGACCTTGCGGCCGATGCACTCTGCCAAGGCCATGCCTGCTTTTTCGCATCGCACCATCGCAACTGTCCACGGGTTGTCAATGACCTTGCTAATTCTCACCAAGTCCAGTGGCCACATGCGCTCCTTCAGATTCGAGAGAGCTATATGGCGGGAAGCAAGTTGTTAACGAACTATTTTTGCTTCTCGCATGACTGCGGCGGATTGTGCCAACTCACCACTACGCTTGCTCATCTCCTTCCTGGCGATGCCCCATGCTGCGCTCTTGATGACAAGTTCGAGCGAGGTCCCCAAGGTCGTCAAATTCTCCACTTCGTACCTCAAGGCGAAGCTTTCGGCCTGACTACCGAAACATTGGAATGGAATCACTGATGCGTCCTCTTTGGTCAGCCATCCGCCAATTCCCACGACTACTCTCATGCGACGGTTCGCTGATGGGACGGCCCTTGCATCGCGGTAACACTCCGTTCCGTCGTTTCTGACGGGAAGGAATGCAAAGTCGGCAGAATCTTTACCGTATTGGTCGATCATTTTGCCCGCTTCCCGACCGGCGTAAATTCCGAACATGTTGCCCACGACAATTCCGTTGTGGGCGACGGTTCCAAGGAGACCAGCTGTGGCAGGTGCACTGAGCCTGATTCCCCCCATAATGCAACCGATCCCGGCAGCCGCGAGGGGTTCGGCCAGGCTACCAGCTGTACTGATCAAGGCCGCGCCAGCGGCCTTCCACTTGCGAGATTTCTTACTCTCAGAAGTCTTCTGCTGGAGAACTGCGTCGAGATCAACTCTATCAGCGGCGCTTGCCAGGCCTCGAGCCAGTCGGACCTCGTCATCATGGAGATCCCTCAGGGGTAGGCCTAGAGACGATGTGACATAAAGCATGAGAACCCGTGCAAAGCCTGAATATGATTCTAACGATAGGACGAGTAGGATTGTCGCGCGGAGAAGAAGCCTCCTTTTCTCTAGTGGAAGGGTATTGAGCCAGGTGCTCAAAGGTGGAAAGCGTCGTGCCAAATACGGATCCAACGTATTGGGTAGCGGTCTCGATGACTGACCTGGTCTCATTGTCAACTACTGAGCATAGAAGGGTTGGGCACTGGGCATTTGCTCTCCGAACGACTGATTCAATGCGACAAGATGGCCGAACATGGCACTTACCTGGGCAGTAGTTAGCCGGGGTACTCACCCCGCCCGAGGTTCCGCCGTTTACAAGATGGCGAGTCGCCATACCCAGCATGGCTTCCCGGTCGCCTAGGTTGCCCCGTCGGATTCGGGCCGCACCCGGGCCGCCACCACGACCCCCGCGCAAGCTCGATGTAGTCATTGTTCTCGCTTCCCTTACAGAAATATCTCTGAATCGACCAAGCAGGTTGTTCTCCCACCTCTTGAACATGGCGAACAGTTCTTTCTTCAGTTCCACATGCTGTGGAGGAAGCTTCGTTCTGATAGTCTCGGAATGGCCTGAAAGTGTCGCCTCCAAATCCTTCCTGGGCGCAGACGGATGAACTCTTTTACACGTCATGGGCGAGTTTGGCTGTCCCCTAGGGGTGGCGCTGTTGTGGGTCGAAACATGGGCTGGTGGTTGATTCTCCTTGTCCGGCATACTGGAGTCGTTTGAAGAGAGCGGAGGATGAGTTGGCTCAAAGGCTTTCTCCAATTGTTGTTCTATTTTGTTCGTGGCCTCAATAATCAGTGCCACGAGAGCGTTTTTCTCTTCAGGGGCTAGGATGCCCGTCAGGTCGGGTTTGCCCCTACGGGGAGGGAAGGTTCGTCTGCCGCCCCGGCCACCCGGCATCCTTGCTGTGGTAGAATCACGTTGCCTGAAATGGAATGGGGAAAAGCCTGAGACTTGATGGAGGACAATGCTGCCGATCAAGTGATTTTTCAACAGATCATGACCAGTTTGTTGACGACCGCAGGGTTTCCGGATCTCTGTGGGAGGAGGTGCGGCCAGATCAAAGCGAGGGCTGCGGGCTTGTTGCTGTCGTTCTGATTATATGATATCGTCTGGAGGCTCGAATCAGGACGAGTCCTGTTGAATATCAACAAGCAAACTGGCAGCAGGGTTGTGGTTGGGAGTAGTGCTCTGCCTTTGATTACCTACCTGACAAGGTATCTCTGAACCGTCACAGATTCTCTATACTCTCGAAAGTGCCGGAATGGAAGGTGGTCTTCGGCTGTATTTGCCCCGATGTTGTTCCTTGGGGGATACTCGCCAGATGGTGAGATCGAAACAAGGTCTGGGAAGGAATAAGCCTGAGGGATGGTTGATTGTGATGGTCCACGCTGATGGAAAAGCAGGCGTATAATGGCACTTTCCTCGTTACAAGGACTAGGCCGCCTGTTAGAAAGCCCGTGGTTGCTGCATCAAGGGTAATACGTCTCCCGTTTTCCACAACGGATGCTGTTGGCATTCGCGATATTCGTGACTGTAAGAGGGTAGGCCAGTAGATGCCATTGGAAGGGGTCCTTGGGTTGGAAATGAGACCAGAGTTGAGCTTGACCTGCCCTATACTGGAGGTACCTCTTTTCCAGATAATAAGGTACTTAGGACAAAGGGGTAAGGAGTGAAAGGCGGCACTGGAAGAACTACGAGTTGGGTAAGCCGGGGTTCCTGGAGGCAGGAGGGGGCGGAAAGCGGAGGAAGTGAAGATATCTGGGACATGGGAAGGTACTAGACTACCTTACCTTTACGAGATACTTTTGCAAGATACACCTTCCTGCCTTGCTGCTGGAACAAGGGAGGAGGACTGGAGTAGTCCATGGAGACCAGGATGGTAACAGCATCAACTCGAAGGGAAGGAATGACCCTTGTGTCTTGTTTCTCACACCTGCCATGGGACATTGTAACTCAAAAGTCACAAAGCATAAGCTACGTCCTCTCATGTGCTGTGATAGTAATCCCATTTACTCGATCATACAAGACAAAAGACCTCTCCCCTCTGCCAACTTGCTTTCAGGCATAGCATACCATCTGTAGTAGACATGATAAGGCTCATCTTATAACCCAATCCAAAGATGCGGAGCTTGTATAAGGTACCTAGACAATGACACGCCCCAGAGTATGGGTTTTGTATGTTGATAGGCCGTGCCCATGATCATTGTGCCAGACCTTTGGAAGATGCTGGCACCCCGCCTTGACCTCCTTTGAAGAAGTAAATGGGCATTCAAAGGGGCTGAAACAGACCAAGCATAAGGTAGCCATGAATTCAGACTATAGCCCAACGTCATGAATTGGCTAGATGCCGCTTCTATTCTATTAGCCGAACCACAGTCTGGTCTCTATTAATGCCCAGTCATTAGATTAACAGGAACCAGAGCACAGATATGTGCTATATATCGATAATCGGAGCAGTTAATCACCTAGATCATGATACCGTATATGAGCTGACACTGCAAACAGTGGGATGAAATGTCCACACTGAGCACATTTTGTCGTGCCATCCCCTCCCTCCCACAAAGCCTCAACATCATCGTCTCCATCACCCGATTCAAACCCTTCCTCCTCGTCGACAGCAACATCTTCGACCTTGGGGCAGTCCTCCTCTCCGGTCAAGCTGGTGTCGACCCTCCACTGTCTAAGCACATCATCCTGCCGCTTGAACATGATAGAAATATCCCTGCCGACGCTGGTCCCGGCCTGGCTACCACTCGGGATCATATTCGCCACGCAGACATTGATGAGTTGTAAATCCCATATGTGACCCTTCTCGGGGTGGAGCTTCTTCAGCATCGGGAATAAGGTGTCCGAAGTAAGCCGTTCTGCGATGGTCTCGACGCTCTCTTTTAGACTTAAGACGAAGTTTGGTAAGGGCTGTGACCGGGACGTCCGGCTGAAGTCCCAATCAGACGTCTCCGCCTTGGCCGGCCATGACCGGATGGAGAGCCGGAGTGTTTTCGGATGCGCCATCCACCTTTGGTCCGAGGCCCCATGTTCCGCAGACTCGTGCACCGTGAGCAGATCCACCCGCATCCTCCTCACCAGGGAAGCGGACAGCTTTCTGAGCTCCTCCTCAATCCGTGTTAGACTGTTAAGGCCCCTGTACGTATCTTCAATGCTGATCTGTGTCGGAAAGTCGCTAGCCTCTTTGACCTCGATATCGTCTACGCCGTGCAAGAGGTGCCATACTCTCAGTCCTGCACCCTGTTCGGATCCAGGACCTCCCAGCAACGTCTCCAGGCCATAGGGGGAGATGTCGGGATGGACTCGGACTGCGTTGGCGGTTAGGGTAGATTCCGAATCAAAACCATCAACCCTCGTGTTCTCGGACAATATCCGTTGCTCCAACAGCCGTGTCGTCTTGGCACCAATGCCAGGTATTTTGCGTATGTTGTGGGAATCCACAAAATCCAGGACCACAGCATCGTTTAACGACAGAAGCGTGGTTTGATTGCGCGGCTTGTGTTTACTCCCAGCCAGTTTACTTAGAAGCTTGTTCATGGAGATGCCGCAGCTCGAGGTAAACCCGAACCTCTCTTCCAGCTGGAGGCGCAGATACCATGCTAGGTGCGAGCCCAACAACAGGCGGACGTACAGGGGATTCTCGAGAGGCGGTGGTTCCGGGAGAGAGCCGTGTACACAGCCTGCAAGCCTCGTCAGGTCGCATGGAAAGCCACTCTCTGGATTCTCCTGGGAAAGACAGAAGAACGAATCCGAGAGACAAGATCTATTCAAAAGAGGAACGTTGTAGTTAATGATATCCGTGACATCTAAGGTATGCACCAGTCAACTTCTATCACGGTGTCAGCGAATATGTTCATCTTACCCATAAACACCTCGTCTAGACCGAGTCTCTCAACTTTTTGGTTCCACGAGTGGGATCGAAGAAAACTGAATAGTTTCTTGCTCGTATCTCGAAAGGGCGTCAGATCCTCTCCTTCGACAATCACGAGCTCGGGACATTCCTCTTGGCCTCGGATATGAGCATGAGCTTCTTGACGCCTCGCGCACGGGCAGCATAGTTGCAGGTGGCTAAGATGCCCTTCTGCTTAACACCCAGTGGCAGAGATTGCAAAGCCGGATTCTGATTCTCGAAGACTGAGGCATAGAAGCAGTCATAGTCCTAGGGGGTTTGCCAGTGTCAGTGACGTGGACTTTGAGAGGGCTGACATGTCAAGGAACAGAAAGAATGAAATCAATGGATGCCCGGGATAGAGAAAAAGAGGTCTCATCCTCACGAGAGGAGCGCATAATACGCGAGGTACAAGCCCGCACTAGGTATTAGAAGACGTACAAAGTGTAGTACGACGGTCGTCTTTCCGCTTGGGCGTTCCATGTTGTCGTTTGAATATTAGGTCCATCCTGAGAGTCGGGATAGCTGTAATATCATTGGCTAAATGCTTCTTCTTCCTACGAAGTACGTGTATCTTACCATGTCATGAGAATGCGGGGAATGTTTGAGTTGGAAGATCACGGTGGTCCATTAATCAACCAAACCATACACATTCTTGTCACGATCCCCCGCATGGTTTAGGGGATTGTGACAACGGAGTAAGGGTGTTCCCAGTCCTAGATGTGGTTAAGACGACGTGACACCCTGACCGACGGATACCTAGGTACCGATGTCTATGTCGAAGCTTGAGGACTAGCCGCTCGGGCAGCTCTGGCTTGTATTCCGTGGAGGTCGTCTGGAATGTATCAACTGCGTGGTGATTATATACAGTCTTACTAATCATGCCCAAATCTGCGCGTGCACTGACCATACCATAATACCGCACGGACCATTATTAGTAAGAAAGAGCCAGCACAAACCGTAATTAGTTCCTCTGAGTATTATATGGGGCTTCGCGGTTATGGCGTCTGTCGAAGTCGTCTTCAATTCACGTTTTCCTTCCGGTATATATTACAGTTCGGCCGCGGCCTACTCCGTGTCGACTGCTCCTCGGAGCCATCATATCGGCGCTGGGTTGTTTTCGCGTGAAATTTGAGCTTGGTTCGAGGGTTTCCTTCTCCGAAGCGCCCGCCGCGAAAGCCCAATTTACTCGCCCTGTTCCATCGCTTATGTCCGATATGGAAGCCGGACAATGGTGCTTCCTTTTGACAGGGGTTTGTTTGACGTGAGAGGACTCATGAGATGATGACAGTCTCAGAAACGATGATCTCCCTCGGCCCCCAGCAAAAAGGATTAGGCGCCATTGCTTGGCTTTCCCGCCATCTTCGTCGGATGTTCACGAAGTTCCAACAGATAGATCCATCTTCAATGAGGCCGCAATTTCTAACGGGGATAAAAAATCACTACGAAGAACAGGGATCAGGGGCACAGTCGGCGCTTGCGAATCCACCCGAGATGCCTGCATTGGTGGTTGGGCTGTTCAACTTATTAATAGCCAACCACGAGACGAGGATAGACACCAACAATCAACCCCCTCACCCACTGCATGTGCCTCTTACGGCCAACGGCACAGGCTCCTTTATGAACCGACACTGATCCTGCTGCCATCGCCCCCGGCAGCGTTCCATTTCCGTTTTGTTTGTTCCCGTATACGTACTCCGCACGCGTCTATTTGTCCGTGCCAACGTGTCACATCGCATGCATATGTGGCTAGGCGCGGCGCTTCACCGTGCCTCCGGTGCATGGGTGGTCAGAACTTGAGACTGGCCACCTTCAACCCAGGCATTTCAGGAGCGGCATGTACGAAGCAAGCAGTACATATAATCCCTCAATACCTAGATATAACCGCCTGACTGCCCCTCATTTTCATGCCCATTCTCCTATCATGTTTTTCCCGCCTTGACTGGCACCATCGTACGGCTGCTTGTTCTGAACATATCACCATCACCCTCCACGCCTTTCTTGCTTGAGCCCTGGGCCGACACATTTAACCCCAGCTTCGGACTAGTCTTTCCAGATTCAAAGGAAGAATCGAACCGTTCAGGGCTCTTATGATCATGGCTACTACTCAGAGCACCTGTAAGAGACCCAAGTTGTCTCTGACCATCAAGCCTTCCAGTAGTCCGAAATCCAGATCGTCTAGGTCCATGTCTGCCGTGGACCCCCAGTCTCCCACTGCCTTCAATACCCTCTCCAATGTTTATGTCACCGCCATCGAGAGGTCTACGCCCGTCACGGCGATTAATACCTTCCACCAACATTCTCATGACACACAAACCCCACGCATCCTCTCCTTCCCGCAGACGCCGCTCAGTGCAAACACTACCTCGCCAACCCCTATGGAGCTCGCGTTCCCTAGCATCTTGACATCGACTCCACCGCTATCGGCAGGACCAACCGAGCCGAGTGACCCGAGTGACCCGCAGAGGTTCACGTTTCCCAAGGCAGATGTACCGAGACTCTCGCTTGTCACAAACCCGGACCAACCGAAGCCTCGAACGCCGCAACGGAGAGTCACAATCTCCAGTCCCCTCGCATCACAATTCAACCCCCCTTACACACATCCGCGGTCGCTCCACAGCATTCTCCGCAACTCACCCTTACCTCCGAGAAGCGTCCGGACACCCATGTCGCCGCGTCGCCAATCTTTGCGCTTCCAGCAGAAAACGACCCGTCGCGTAGCGTACCACAGCCCTCTTGAACAGACAATCATCACAAACAAATACACAAAGTCGCACATCGACCTCCTAAGCGAGGACCCCTCCCCAAACTCCCCTGCCATCCCCAGCACATGTCAGGGGGCCGACATGGTACTGGACCTGACACTCGCCTTTACCGGCGACGAGACCCGGGACGGGGGACAGACTCCGGGTCCGTTCGAAGAGATGCGGAGACGGATGGCCGGTCTAGCCGCTACATCGCCGCTGTCGCCGTCCGCATCTGGCGGGATCCGAAAGCGGAAACGCAAGGAGAAGATGCGCCACTGGGCGTGGACCATCGGTCGGGACGACGAGGAAGAAGAAGACGAAGAGGGAGTCAGCGGCGCCATCGCCGCAACCCGGGCGGCGGAGGCCAGGGCAGCATCCGAGCCGCCCCCTGGTGTGACGCACTTGGTCGAAATACAAGATCGGATGGAGCACAGCGGGGACGAGGATTCTCTCTACAACTAGTACGGCGAACTCTAGGACGCCAATACGAGGAACACGCAACGCAAGCCCCGTGATTTCAGCATACGATTTATTTGACCATGGCGGGGAAATGGAATCTGGAGCAATGAAGCACAAGCGACTGGACTGGTATTTTGGAATGCTTTTCAATGTTGGAAAAATCATTTGCAAGCGCTGCATTTTGTAGGATTTAACTGCCGAAATATTTATGAATAATGATGGGTGGGATAACGACTGGAGTTGAGGGCATGACACACACCGGACGAGACGTCGTCCATCGCGAGCCAATCAATTGAGAAGCGCCTGAAGAATTGCCCTCTCTCTTGGTGCCGTAGTTCAAGTCCAAAATGACGCGTTTGGACGGCAGAGAAATATTTCCGCGCAAGTCAATGGCGAGCCGATCAGGTCACTGTCCATGTTCTTGAGAAGGCACACGCGATGGAAAGCAGCCGTCTATAGGTCACTACAAGCAGCCATTGACGCTATCCGTAATGTGTTTTCCTTGTCCAACTTCGTGTACAGCCGTATCGGATTACCCGGTTGGCAACCTGGCGGTATGTGAGTTTCACGAATCGCGGCTACAAGTTGGCTACGAATAAGGCGAAACGGATCAACAGACGGTAAAGAAGCCAGAGGTTAGCGTTGCTAATCAACCCAAGTAGTGCAATGGGGCGAGCTGAGCTTCGTCTATCTGGATCCATGTCCCGAGAACTCCATTAGTAGCTAAATCTGGTATCGACAACTTTTGACCTGCTAGTGTGACGCTGCGGCCCCATGTTATTGTGGGGTTGCAGTGTCAGACAGCAGCTTGGTAACTGACGTCATCGACTCTGATAGCTTTCGAAGCACCCTTCCCGGAGAGCAATTCGTCCTTCGTTATTACGTACTTCTTCTTACCTCTACCTTAGGTAGTTCGTACAGACGTCATGGGGGTTCGGGCAGGAAGGAGATACCTGGTTGTAAATATGAAGACGTCGTCACCGACGCTGCGCAAGTTGTTTTCGTCCATAATACACAACTCCTCTCTTACTCCGTAGATGGGTTTCTTGGCTTCGTTGCCATTGCCATCGATATCGGTGCACTCTTTGTTGCCCGTTAATCTATCAGTCACGACTCGAATTTGTCTCCAGCTCATTCCGAGTGACTTGCCCACTCGACAAGTTGGATCGTGGGGGAACATAAGCCAGGATGTCTGCTCCTAAACACGAGCCGCCCATTGGCGGCCAACATTACAGTGGCCAGAATCGGATCCCTAACATCCAGGAGTTCGTCGCTCAGCTTGACAAGGAGAAAGCTGAAAGAGACGCCGACATAGAAAAAGATCTGGGCAATAACCAGAAACATGCCGAGGCCAGCGACCATGTCCCGGACCGAAAGAACAAAACTAAAAATACCAAAACAGTCCGGGACCCGGTTACTGGCAAGGATGTCGAGATCGAGGATGCCCAGACGGATTTCAAAGAAACCGTCGTCAACCCTCAGGTAAGATAGCCTCTCAGTTCATTCTAAGAGCTCTGATTTGTTTCTCGTGCCTAATACCGTGGTCACTGTTGCTAGATCTCTGTCCCCAACGAGAACGTAGGAAAGAAGGCTACCGTAGCCACTTCCCCTGAGCAGTCCGGGGACGAATACCGGCGAGCCCAGGACATTACTGCTCCGCCAGATCCCGTGGAACCCGGCAGCACGTCCGACGTGCCCATTCACAGCGAGAAGACCAACGTTTTGTTCTTCAAGACTCCGAGTGTCAGCTACGAGCCCATGTTTGCGACCCTTGAGAAGCGTGCCAATGTATTATGTCTCGCCATCTTCTTCGGCATCATTTTCGTCGGTCAGTTGTTTGGTGGAAGCCTCTGGGGTCTCATCCCGCTGAGCGTGACTGTGGCTTGCGGTGTCTTCCTCTGGGCCAAGGACGTCATCAGTCAGGGCCGAAATATGGAGTGGTCAAGTGAAAAGGAACGCGGGGAAACGGCCACGATGAACCTGGTACCCGAGTCCGTAGAGGTGAGATATTCGACTCCGCACACCACGGCCCCATGCCGTGCTAACGGCTGGTAATGCAGTGGCTGAATACTGCGTTGGGAATTATGTGGGGCCTAATCAACCCCGAGATGTTTGCCGGCGTCGCGGACATGCTGGAAGACGTCATGGTTGCCTCCGTGCCCGGCGTGATCGAGAATGTTCGCGTTGCCGATATTTCCCAGGGTTCCAACCCGATCCGGGTCCTCAGCCTTCGTGCTCTTCCCGACTCCCACATGCAGGAGGTCAAAGAAGAGACTCGTAAGGAAGAAGAAAAGCATATGGATCCAAACGAGCTCGCTGCGATGGAGCAAGCTGGTTCCTACTACAACCTCGAGGCCTCTGTCGCCTATCACGCCAAGCCGTCCGGGTCCGACATCTCTTCCAAAGCCCGCAATATGGGCATGCAGCTCGTCTTCTACCTGGGTGTGAAGGGCCTTCTGGGCATCCCCTTGCCTGTTTGTAAGTATATCCGAAGTGAGGTTGACCGTCGTTCAGACACCTGTCTAATGTCCCTATAGGGGTTGAGCTCCAGGGCCTGGTTGCCACGGTGCGCCTCAGGCTTGAACTTGTTCCCGAGCCACCGTTCCTTAAGACAATGACTTTTACCCTGATGGGTGTTCCGAAGGTGCAGGCCGGATGCACGCCCATGATTGAAAAAGGCGTCAACATCCTCAAGTTACCCATCATCTCGAACTTTGTGAACTGGGCCATTAGAACTGCCGCTTCGATGGTGAGTGAACATATTGGGGAAATAGTCCGACGAGCTTGAAACTAATGCAAATTAGTACGTCGCTCCCAAAAGTATGACTCTGGACATGGGCAAGATGCTCGTAGGAGACGATATCCAGAAGGACACCCAGGCGCTTGGTATCATCTTCGTTCGGATTCACCGTGCCGCTGGCCTAAGCAAGCAAGACCGACGTGGCAGCGAAGCTGGAGGCTCGGATCCATACATCACTGTGGCTTGGAGCAAGTTTGCAAAGCCCCAGTTTTGCACCCGCGTTATCCAGGATGACCTCAATCCAATTTTCGAAGAGAGCTGTGGCCTCCTGGTCACCGCCGACCTGATTAGGGCTGACGAACAACTCGCTGTTGAGCTTTGGGATAGCGATAGGTCTTCCGCCGACGACGTAGTCGGAAAGGTCGAGTTGAGCATACAAAAGCTCATTCAACATCCCGGAAAGATGTTCCCGCAGGTTTCTAATCTGCGTGGGGTCAAGGCCGAGAGCGAGATGCCCGGCGAGCTGATCTGGGAAGTGGGCTTCTTCGGCAAGACTCAGTTCCGCAGGGCTCTCCGGGCCGACGGCCAAAATGAGAGTCTTCCAAAGGAGCTTAGGGATAAGAGAGAACTGCAGGAGGACCACGGCGTCATTGCTACGGCCGAAGAGGATGCTGTCATTCACACACCTCCCGATCCTCTCTGGCCTTCCGGAATTCTCAGCATTGTAGTTCACCAGATTGTCGGTCTTGAACTGGCTAATGTCCGCGGATCCAACGGCAATCGCAAAGGTCGCGAGTACGAGCCTGCTCGGCCCGAGGCTGGTGAGGTGAAAGAAGAGTCGAGCAAGACGCTTCCCAGCTCGTACTGTACCATCCTAATGAATGACGAACTCGTCTACAAGACGCGAACGAAGGCTGTGTCATCCCATCCCATCTTCAACGCTGGCACAGAGCGCTTTGTGCGCGACTGGAGAAACTGCATCGTCACTGTCACTGTGCGAGACTCGCGCAATCGCCAGCACGATCCCATCATTGGTCTTGTGCCGTTGAAAGTCTCCGACATCCTCCAGACGGGCAGCGAGGCTACCCGGTGGTATCCCCTTGATGGAGGCATCGGCTTCGGCCGAATCCGTGTATCCTTGTTATTCCGGTCTGTGGAACTGAGGCTCCCGCCTTCGCAGCTGGGCTGGGATGTGGGTACTTTCGAGTTCCTGGGCGACACCATCACCTCGTCGGGGTACGGGCATCACAAGACGAAGGTGCGCCTCCGTACAGGAGGAAGTTCTGCCAGCATCAAACGGGACGCGTGCACGAAAGAACCCGACAAGGATGGTCTCGTCTGGGACCTAAGTGGACATAGCAAACACGACAGGATTCGCCTGCCAGTCCGCTTTCGGTACCGCTCACCCATCTTCTTCGAGTTTTACCCGGCAGGCAGGCGAAAGCCTAACGCGTTTGCTTCCCTCTGGCTTCAGGACCTGGTGGATTTGGAAGAGCACGATTTCGACATACCGATCTGGAAGTGCGATAACCCTACCCGTCTATCCCAGAATTATGTGACGGAAGAAACGTGCAAAAATCTTCCGGCCCTGAAGGTGGAGGAGATTGGTCGCCTGAGGTTCCGAGGTCGGTTCTCCACGGGCACTGATCGGGATCACATCAGGTTCGTGTCAGACAACAACTCCAGGGAGACAATCGAGACATGGGAGGCGTGCTTTGCCGAAGGGGTGCGGCAGGAGGAGGTCCAGACGGAAGTTGCCCCGTCGACGCAGAAATTGCACGAGGCGTCTCTCACCCAGGGACGAGATGTGCTTGCTCAGGCAGATCCGAAAGAAAAGGAGAAGTGGCTGGCAAAGGACGGTACAGATTGGACAGGGGCATTTGGAAAGGACCCCGTGTCTCTCCTCAGTGGCGATCCCGTTGACCTCAATGATACGGAGCGTCATGACGATGAGGGCGAGATGCACGAGGAGGATAGTGCAAGCGATGTCGACCTGGGAATTTCTGACGCTGACACTGCATCACAGCGCGATTCAACGGCAGGTGAAGACGGGGAGCAGAACCGCCCGTCCACCAGCAGCGGTGCAGAGAGTCAGTCCCAGGCGGGAAAACCCAACAGCAATAGCCCTGTGCAGGCGTATAAGGATTACAAGGACCGTAGCCGAGACCTGCATCGGAAGCATAGAGGGCTCATGCAATGGCGACCCATGCGAAATGTCCAGTTCGCGAAAAATGAGGCTCTCTTTGGGATGCGCAAGGTCAAGAAGATTGGAGCTCTCGATGGACGGAAGCCGGATGTTGAGACGGAAGTTTGAAGAGTGTTCTTGTAGCTTAATAGTTCGATGTTGTAATTCTAGGCAATGAATGTAACGAGAGAAGTTCAACATTTTAATGCCCAAAAACAGTATTTGAGAGGTAGTCGTCAAAACACTTGATTGCATCGGCGGAGTGTACCACGATGATAACATTGTCATTGGAAAAGTTCAGGGAGCCGAGCTGACGAGATGATATCTCTACTGTGTGTGTAATGCGTGTATTAATACGGAGTACGCGTACTTTGTATAGGTACTTATTCGACGGTACTGTGTCTCCCGCTGTGGGCCCTTATCGAAACCCATGCGGGGTGAGTTGGTTGGTGGTCAGCGATAAGGACCTTTTTTTTTCCTCGTTCCAAAAAAATTGGCGAGTATTTCGGTCGGGGCAATTTGACGGCTTCTGTTGCACGTTACCGCTGTCACCGCCTTGGACCTCGCTCAACGCAGCAACCATGGCGACGCCCACCTTAGACGAAAAGCTGGACAAGATCCGGTCACCGGGTCTTCAGAGCCAGAAGAGGGTAAGCACTTGTTAATGTTTCCTTCCTGTCAACTCACTCGTCTCCCAAACCTAAGCATTCTCTCGCTAACCCGTTGCCCTCCTTGCTCAAAGAGAGTGGTTATTCTCGAGGCGGTCGACGCAACGCTGAAGGAACAGAATACTGCGCCCACGCCGACGGGATATTTCGCTGCCCTGCTTGGCCTTCTCAACCAGTCCGTAGAGAGCGGCAACGTTAACTCTGAGACGACCACGTCGGTGGTCTACCTCCTTGATGTCGTCACTCCATACGCACCGCAACCATTGCTTCGATCCAAGTTTACCCAGATCTTAACGCTCCTGGCGCCCGTTCTCATCCTCCAAGATGCCGAGCCCATTCTTCTCAGGTCGTCTATTGGGTGCCTGGAGTCCCTGCTTCTTGCCCAAGACACGGCTTCGTGGGATCTAGGGGTAACCCAAATCGGGCCTCGGCGAGCTGTCGCTGGTCTTCTCAAACTCGCCCTGGACGGCAGGCCCAAAGTCAGAAAGCGCGCTCAAGATGCGCTGAAACTAGTCCTCAAAAACCCTCCGCCAAGCCCGTCGCTCGATCATCCCGCCGCCGACATGTGCGCCCACACGGCGCTCTCCACCTTGGAGGAGATGGCGGCCAAAGTCACGCAGGCGAAGAAACAAAAGAAGTCTTCCGAATCTCCTCATGATCCAGCCTTGATCCATGCGCTGCAGCTGGTCAAGACTGTCGCGTCTGCGAGCGGCGGTTGGCCAAGCAAGAAAATCGAAAACCTCTGCGAGTTGCTGTTGGGTATCGCGCGGACCGGCAACGAGTATATGACCGTGGCGACCTTTGAGATCTTCGAGATGATCTTTGAGGGCATGGCGGACGAGGTTGCGTCGGCCAAGCTACCGAGACTGATGGAGATCATCTCCGAATTGCGCCCCGCCGCCAACGATACGCAGCTTGTTCCCCCATGGCTCGCCATCCTGTCACGGGGGTATGACGTCTCCGCTCAATTGGAGCCTGAGGAGACATTCCAAAAACTGCCAGATATCTTCTCCTTGGTTTTGGGCTTCCTCGAGTCACCTGCGCACAATATTCGCATTTCGGCCTCCGAATGTCTTGTGTCCTTCATGGCAAATTGCATTCCTACGTCGGTCATTCTAGAGCCGTCCGTATATGACGAGAAGACGTTGGAGAAGGTTGCCAAGTTGGTCGAGTCTCTCCTCAACGTCAAATTTCAGGCGGCTTGGATGGAGAGCTTCAACGTGTTCGGTGCCATGTTCGATGCGCTCAGGTGGAGGGCCCACCCTATGATGCTCAACATCCTCAAAGCTGTGGGTGACCTGCGGAGCACTGACTCTTTTAACGGGAAAAAGGAAGCCGACGAGGTTATTGGCAAGGCCATCAGGGCAATGGGACCGGAGGCTGTCCTCTCCGTGCTACCCCTAAACCTGGCTAAACCTGCCAAGGGCCAGCCTGGCCGTGCCTGGATGTTCCCCTTGCTGCGCGACTACATAAGCAACACGAACCTTGGTCATTTCCGGCAAGAAATGGTGCCTCTGAGCGAACTGATGTTCCAACGAGTTCTAGACCATGGCGAAGCCGAGAAGACGATGGAAGTGAAGATTTTCGAGACGTTGGTGCAGCAAATCTGGGCGACATTGCCGGGTTATTGCGATCTCCCTCTCGACTTGCGAGAAGCATTTGATCAAAGCTTCGCAGAACTCCTAGCAAACATTCTTTATAAGCAGGTTGAACTGAGGCTCGAGGTGTGCCGTGCTCTGAGAACACTCATTGAATCCAACCAAGCCATCGCAAAACTGGAGAACGACGCAGACGACATGATTCTTCAGAGCCGCGTCTCTCGCGAGACGGCCCAGAAGAATTTGGATTACCTCGGCGGATTCGCCGGCAACATGCTGGCCGTGCTCTTCAACGTGTACACCCAAACGCTACCGCAGAGCCGCGGTCCGATCCTCCTGTCCATCAACGCATTCCTCAGCGTGACCCCGGCAGAGGAACTCAGAGAGACTTTCGACAAGGTGTGCCAGATGCTCGCAGCAGAGCTCCAGAAGGAGCCGGAGCAGGCGGAAAAGGCGAAGTCCCAAAAGGGGAAAGAGCCAATGCCCTCAACAAGTAACACGCTGATGGATCTCATCATAACCATGTCCATCTATCTTCCTCGGGAAAGCTTCGCTGCGCTCTTTGAGATGGCGGCAGTCGTCATTGTGAAGCAAGACGAGCCTCAGTTGCAGAAGAAGGCGTACAAGCTCATCCCCCGTCTTGCTGAGTCGGAAATTGGGAGACGGGCACTACAGGAGAGGTCGGCTGAATTGCAGAGCCTGCTCCTTTCGAGTGCGGAGAAAGTGTCGGTCCCTGCACGAAGGGAACGCCTCGCGGCGCTCAATGCCCTTCTTCCCTTCATCCCCGACACGTCGCTCCATTTTATTCCGTCAATCTTGAGTGAGGTGGTCATCTGCTGCAAGGAGAACAATGAACGCGCCCGCGAGGCGGCGTTCGATCTTTTGATCCAAATGGGCAAGAGGATGACGGATGCCAACGGAGCGACCATCGATAATACCAAGGTCCCGCATATGCCGAAAGACGCCCCGCCAGGCACAGCTAACATCGAGGAGTATCTCACCATGGTCAGCGCAGGTCTCGTTGGCGCTACTCCACACATGATTTCGGCCTCCGTCACCGCGCTCAGTCGTGTACTGTACGAATTCAGGCCAATACTGAGCGAGCAGACTCTATCCGACCTGGTGCAGACCATGGATCTTTTCCTGACGTCCAACAACCGAGAAATCGTCAAGAGTGTTCTGGGTTTTGTCAAGATTTGTGTTCTCAGTCTGCCGACGGAGATGATGCTGAATCGTCTGCCCACGCTGACGCCCAATCTGATCATCTGGAGCCACGAACACAAGGGGAACTTCAAGAGCAAGGTCAAGCACATCCTGGAGCGCATGATCCGTAAATTCGGGTTCGACCTCGTCAACAAGTATTGTCCGGATGACGATCGGAAACTCCTGGCCAACATCCGTAAGACCAAGGCCAGGAACAAAAGGAAGAAGGACGCCGCGAAACAGGCGGGTGAGGACGGGAGCGACGACGAGGATGCGAAGCCCTCCAGGAAGTTCGAGAGCGAATACGACCAAGCGCTGTACAGCAGCGACTCGGACGAGTCGGGCGCGTCGGACGACGAAGGTGGCGGCGCGGCGAGGAACGGTCGGAAGGGCGGAAACAAGAAGGGCGGCAACGCGTACATTGTCGAGGACGAGGACGAGCCACTGGACCTGCTGGACCGCAATGCGCTGGCGAACATCTCGTCGACCAAGCCCGTCAGAATCAAGCAGCCGGGCAAGACGAAGGCCAAGACGGACCTGGACGGCAAGTTGATCCTCGGCCAGGCGAGCGACGACGAGGGAGACGCCATGGACGTCGACGGCGGCGGCGCGGGAGAGTCGGGCGTCAATGCGTACGTTGCCGCGCTTAAGGGCAAGGATGTTGCGCGTCGCGGTCGTGGCGGCAGGCTGAAGTTCAGCAACAAGAAGGGCAAGGACGACGAGCCCATGGACCAGGATATGGATGAAGATACCGCGGCTGCTGTGAAGGCACAGGTAAATAAGAGCCGCGGAGGCGGACCTGGTGACAAGTTCCGTGGCCGTGGTGGGCGTGGAGGAGGACGTGGAGGAGGACGTGGAGGAGAACGTGGAGGGCGTGGAGGGCGTGGAGGGCGTGGCGGAAGAGGCGGTATTGCTTCAGGCCGGAAGGGACTGGGCGAAGAGAGAAGGAGAGGGGGAGGCGTAATGCACGGTGGTATTAGCAAATCTCCCCGGTCACGGAGGTAGGGGTAGATGGCAAGGTCAAGTGCTGTTGGATTTGGGTTTTCTTTTCCCTTCGTCTCCCAAAACCACCTCGGTATACCCGTTGGCTCTCTCACTCTCACACACACATATATCCTGGCTTTCACATAGTATCTGTATCTGATCTGCGGTTACTGGCGCATGAGAAATGGAAATCAAAATTGGGACTGGTTGTTATTAATTGAACGCGTCTCGATGGATTTCAGCGCAGATTGCCGTCTATAGCCTGCACCTTTCGAGAGATCTGCTTCGGCAAGTCTCACCATGGTGCCCACTTGCCAGCAGGATATAATATGTACAGAAAGTGTTGCATTAGCCCCGACGTGATACGTTGGGACGATGGATGTTGCTCTCGGAATAGCGGGTTTGTAGGGGAACCAAGCCTCAACCGAAGCATGTCGCACGAACGCCAGCAAACTCCCAGGATGCCGAGAAGAAAAATAAAAAGAAACAATAAAAACGAAAGACGAAGTCCGTTTTCCAACTTTCGAACCATGGTCATATGGCCCCGGCTCACGGAGCTGGTGATGGACCGTACGGCCTCGTCTACCTGAACTTGCTGAAAATAACCGCCACAATAAGAAGGACAAGGATGGTAATGATGGCAATGGTGATTACCCGATTCGTAGCCATCCTGGAGGGAAGAAGCAGGTTCGTCAGCGGGGGAGCCCAACCAAAACAGGATGATATATGGGAGAGCGAGGGAAGGGGCTCAAGGGCAACGGGGAAAGCGGGGGGGGGGGGGGAGCATTACCTACGGGCCATACCCCGCAGCGTCTTGACACTCCGGTCGACGTAGCCCTCGCTCTCGAGCAGGCGGTCATGGGTATGCTGGATGGTCTGGCGTTGGAGGTGGAGATCGGCGAGAGTGGTGGCGCCGATGGCCTCGGTCTCGTTGGCGAGGGCCTGAGAGGCCTTGAGGCGCTGGGTGGAGCGGTCGAGGCGGTCTGTGCCGGAGAGAAGCTGCTGGCGCTGTTCGAGCTGTCGGTCGGTGACGCCGGAGGAGGAAGAGGCGGGACCGCCGGAGGGGTCGTCGGTGTAGCGGGCGCCGAAGAGGGCAGAGCGGTCGTCGGAGAGGGAGCGGAGACGGCGCTTTGCGGCGTCGAGATCCGATTCGTGGTTGCGGAAGCGGGTGTTGATCTTGGTGCGGTGCGGGGTGGGGATGTTGGCTTTTTCTAGACGCATTTGACCGAGCTAAATAACGTACCGTGCGGTTAGAAAGCGTCCCATGTTGATCGATCAAGCAACTTTTCGTTGTCTTTGCTCCTTGCGTGGGATGGGAGAATGGTCCGGGAGGGGGGGGGGAGGACGTAGAGAAAGAGGGTTTGACGGTGGACTTCTGCCGAATCATTGTGATGAAACATGATAAGAGCGGCAACGGTAACATAGCACATACAATCTCGTCGGCTTCCTCGAGGGCTCGCTCGGCGGCGCTGATGGCAGCTTTGCGAGGTTCTCCGGATAACTCTGGGATTTGGTCGAGCTTCTGGGCCAGATCGGCCTGAACGAGCTTCAGTTCGGCTTCATAGTCGCTGAAGCGCTCGGTGCCAACGTCTGTGTCGAGGGGATTGGGCATGATGGGCGAGAGTAGTTTGTCGATGGGCGGCGCAGGCCGTTTGAGTGGCTGGCTGGCTTTGTTTCTAACAGAAGTGCGCAAACTACGGAACGACAATCTATAGCCTCGCTAACAGGAAAGCAGAGTCTTGCGAGCAGAAAGACAATAGCGGAGGTAAGAAAGAAGGTAACAGCTGGTTGGAAGAGACTGTTTCAATCGGACGGTGGCGAGAAATGAGGCGAGAGGCCGATTTGAGATTATATTGAAGCCTAGAATTCGTGTGTCGCTGCTATAGAGGCCGGTTTCTGATTACTCGAAATTTCGGTCACGTGTAGAATAATAGTCCCTGTATACTATCAGATATAGTGTAACCGTAATAATAACGTAGAAGAATAGTAATAGGGCAGTTAATCTGTTGATTGAATGAAGGCTTGTAAATCTGTAGATCTATATATGTAACTATCTAAAATCCTCGACTATTAGGGGACTCCTACTACCGTAATTTCTATAGTAAAGATTCTGTAGGTATCCACCCGGATTACTAAGGTTATAATACTTTATATTTAAATCTATATTGGTTATATAACTGTTAATCTTACTGCCTATCCGACACACCCCCTTAATAGCCACTATAGTAGTTAGGCTATTAAAGCTATTTATAGTAGGCCGACGCTTTACTTATTCTATAGCCTCCTTTAATTTTAACCTTCGGTGTTCTTAAATACTCTATCAGGACCTCTTCTAGCTTCCGTTATTATAAGCGTTCCCGTATATACACTAGGCGTGCCTAGGCTCTAAATATTATAAACTTCTTAGCCGTTAAAAGGCGTCTTCGTTAATCCCTATAACGTAACTATCGTTAATCTATCGCGGCGTTAGTCTATCGCTCCGGCGGTCTATTACGACGTTAATCGTTAGCCTATTGGATATTCCGTTAGCACTTCCACCAGCTTCTTTAGCTATATTCAGTCTCTTATATCTATTATACCTACCTAGGCCCTGGACGTCACGAACTTTTCGCCGTATAATGCCTTCGTTAATCTATCCGCTACTATTTCGGTATTAAATATCGCTCCGTTAATTATCGTAATATTAATTATCGTAGCGTTAGTCCTTAATCTATTATACCGTTAATTATTATAACTTTAATCCTTCCGCCACTATACCGGCTTCTGTCTAATAAAGCGTAGTCAAAATCGTTATAAAATAGTTTAAAATTAATTAAGGTAATTATATATAATTATACCCGTGTTAGACTATCAGGGAAACGCCATTAACCTACTAGGTTAATATAGCGTTAATCCCCTTTAGGTAGCTATCGTATTACGTTTATAGGATCTTCTAAGGCGCTGTTAAATAGGTAGTCGCAAAGAGTGAAAAGGTAGGGTTAAGCAAGGAACCAGGTATAGTTATAATAGGATCATAATAGGGTTAGAACGTGGGTAGAGCTAAAGAATTAGATTAATCGCTGGCCTTCCCCTTTAAAGGGGAGGCTCCTCTGCTCCTTAAGACTATATCCCGCTACCCCTTAAGGACTGCTTATTTACTTTCTCGAGGGCTACCTTATTTACTTTAAGGGACTATTCTGTTTACTATATAATAACTGCTTTATTTATACCTCGAGGGGTCTTAGATAGGGACACGCCTAAACCCCTACGGGTTTATACTAGGGACTTATTATAACTATTTCTATAGACACCTAATATAGCGACCTCCCCCGGATACTCCTGTCCTTAGGAGTGCCCGATCCGTGCCGGCCTTTTAGCCCCTCCGGAACCTAACCTCCGAGTGCCCCGAACCAGAGCCCTCCACGGCGGGTCCCTAATAGGTCCCCGGCTGGTTCCTATATAGAAGCCTTTTCGGCTATAGCTCTAACCCGAGTATATACCCCCTCCCTTTATTTTATTGATAAAACTACTAAAGCTAATATTCCACTTAGAACCCTAATAGGTTTTAGGGTGGTTCCTTTTTAGGCCTTCGGGTCTACCCCTTTTATCTCCCTGGGTTATCCTTTTGATTAACTTATACAGACTCCCGAGGCTAGTATTATATAGGGCCCGTTATTACTCCTTCCGTTAATTTCGTAGCTTCCCCCTTAATACTAAAAATAGGTGCCTATATAACTACTATTAGGGATATCTTATAATCCGGCCGTTATTCCTCTTCCTATTCTTTTCTTCCTCTTCTATACTTAGTTTTTTAGTCGTGTTACCCTTTTTTCGGTAAGTCCTGCCTAATCTAAAATATCGCGTACTAACGATCTATAGTCTTAATGAATTAATTAATTAATCCTCCGTCTTATAAGTAGTCTCTATATATCTCTAGTCTATAATACTAGCTAACCACGCGCTATAGTATAGTTATTATGCCTTCCTAGGAAGATAATAATAATAATAAGCGCGCCGCTACTCCTACGAGTATAACGCGATCCTCTAAAAGGATTAAGATCGTGGTTACGGCGTTATCCTTATAGTCCGCTAGGTAGTCTACCCCGTAGTCGGCTATATAGCCTGCCTTATTATAGGTTATCGCTCCGGCTACGCTAGAGCCCCCTACTCCTACTACGGCTATATCGTTATCGACTACTATACCATTAGTCGCTCCACGCTAAAGGGTAATAGATATCGGTATAGGCGGGGATCTAAGGGCCCCCTATATACGTCATACACGTAAGTTAGTGGCGATTAACTTTAAGGAAAAAACGTATACTATTAAGGCCGTGACGTACTGTTATACCGATAATAGTCGGCGGACGAATACGTGCTACTATTACTCTAAGTATAATAGCCTTAAGTGCCGCGTAGTAAGTTATATATCTTTATCGTTATCCTAATACGGCTTTATTCCCCTTTATACCTCTTGATTATCCTTATAGCTCCTCCCTTTATAGACTACTCCGTAGTCCTATTTCTAATATATATAATACCTCCCTATCGCCGGTAAGAATGCTACCGAGTAGCTATAAAAGGTTTTAGTTATTACTATCGATAAAGGTAGCCTAAATATGAGTCGTTATATAAGTATTACTAACTATATCCCCTTATTAATCCCGTATAATGCCCTTACTAATCCTACATAATACTAGGCTATAGTAGTTCGATACTAGGTTATGCTTAGAGAGGCTTTAGGTTAAGCGACGCTAGAGGTTAACCGGTCGTCTACGAAGAAAGCTATAGCTACTCGGTGTTAAGCTAAGGAGGTTACTAACGCCCGCTAGAAAACGGCGGAAGATATCCATAAAAGGCTTAATAGTATAGAGTCGCTCCTTAAGTAATTCGTCGGGTTATAGTAGTAGCGTCTCGCCGTTAAGTAGAAACGCCTTAATATTAAATAATAACGCCTTACGTTACACGGGCGCGATCTCGCGGCCTAGGAGCGGATAGCTACTACTTTCGAGTAGATAGCTACTCTTAACCTAGCCTAGGCTTAAGGAGACCTGCCTATACTCTTAGGGTCTACCTTAGCCCCCGCGGGGGTTAGCTTTATAGGTAATAATATATTTAGTAATAGTAGTAGCCCTATATAAACTTAAGGCTTCGTGCTATAAGGTCTCTAAGGTCCCTAAGGTCCGCTAGATCCTTACGAAGTACCCGACGATAACGATATAGTACTAACCTTATTAGCGAAAAAGGGTAAGGGGAAGAAGAAGAAGAAGTAAAAGGCGAAGACGCCTCTATCTTTTTATCTTTCGATACTATCCGCGGGTTGTGGGGAAGAGGGGGTAACGACGGCTACTACGGGGTAAAGCTAGGTATATATAGAGGATAATAATAAGGCGGTTAGGCGTAAGCCTACCCCTCTAGATAATAATTTAGTAGGGTTTAAGGACGTCCTTTTAGGGGCGTAATAGGTATATATAGAGGATAACGGTTATTCTTTTTTCCAGGTTTTTTACTAGCCTTCGGGTTAGGTTTTTCCTTTTTTTCTTTTTTAACCAGCTTTAGGGTATTCCTATCGTAACTCTAATAGTCCTAACTATACTTCGCTATAATATAATCGTATCCTATCGTAACGGTTAATTAGGGGGAAAGCAGAGGTAAATAGAGGCTAAGGGCGATAAGCTATTATACTAAAGGAATAATAATAGGGTTAGGGGCGGGAGCGTTACGTTTAAGAAGAAGGATAGAGATTAAGAGTAAAACGCTTAAAAGGGAGAAAATAGTAACCGAGGCGATAACGCCTATATAGTCCCCGTCTAGGTTAAGGGGGGGTCCTTTCGTAAGAAATTATCTCCACGGCCTACCGAAGGGTTTTCTAAGGTTAATATAGCCGATATAAGGATAATATATAAACCTATTTAGTTCCTAGTAAGTCTTGTTATCCGTAAGGAGGGGGAAGAATAGAATAACGTCCTTAGGTCATGTCTATAAGGTCCCTTATAGGAATAGTCTATAAACCCGTTTAGTTCCCGGATAGTCTTACTTTAAAATAGGCGTCGACGAGTTTATCGGGTATATTCCGCTTCGGCTCCTAGGTATTCTCCTTATCGCTATAGCCGGCCTATTTAATTAGATACTAGCGCCGTTTACCCTAATATCGATGGTTTAGAATAGCTTTAACCTTATACTTATCCGAATCCGGTTCGACGTCGATTATAGGTGGTTCCGGCCGTAACCTATCGCGGGACCTCTATAGTTTTAGTAAGGATACGGGAAAAACGTTATAAATCCTTATACCTTTAGGTAGCGCTAACTGGTAAGCCAGGCTATACGTGCCGATAACCTTAGTCACCTTATACGGCCCGATAAACTTATCGCTAAGCTTTTTCGATAGTCTCTTCTACCGGACATTCTTCGTGGATAGCAGGATATACTCGTCGACTTTAAAAGAACGCTAGGTATAACTAGTATTATAATACCGAAGATTATACCCTCTTAATAAGATCGGAGATAGAATAGCGCTAGGCTATAAGGTATTCCGCACGGCGTTCCGCTTTAGCGGCGCGAACCTCGTCTGCCCTAGGCAGTTATGCCTTATTAGGTCCCCTTAGGTTATAGCCTATTAGGGTATCGGATAGGGTA